GCTGTAGGATCCCACGTTTTAAGATCTTTGAGGTCCCTTCCAACCCAACCACTGGAGGATTCCCATGGTTCCGTGATCCTAAAGGTCCCCCCAACCCAACCACTGGAGAATTCCCATGGTTCCGTGACCCTAAAGGTCCCTTTCAACCCAACCACTGGAGGATTCTCATGGTTCCGTGATCCTAAAGGTCCCCCCAACCCAACCACTGGAGGATTCCCATGGTTCCGTGATTCTAAAGGTCCCCCCAACCCAACCACTGGAGGATTCCCATGGTTCTGTGATCCTAAAGATCCCTTCCAACTCAACCACTGGAGGATTCCCATGGTTCCATGATCCTAAAGGTGCCCCCAACCCAACCTCTGCAGGATCCCAAGGTTTTGTGACCTTCAAGGTCTCTCCCAACTCAATCACTGTAGGATCCCACCGTTCTGTGATCTTCAGTGACCCGTATCACCCAACCACTGCAGGATCCCATGGTTCTATCACCTTTAAGGTCCCTCCCACCAAAACCACTGTAGGATCCCACGGTTCCATGATCCCAAAGTTCCCCCCAACCCACCCACCGCAGGATCCCATGGCCCTGTGCCCCTTGAGATCCCCTCCAAACCCAACCACTCTACAATTCTACGACAACGGAGACGCGACGCCACGACCCACCGCAATGTGGGGTGTACAGAACCCTTCCCCAGAGCAGAGATTTGGGGTCCTGCCCCCCCTCCCCTACCACCCCTACTCACTGTGGGCTTCCACCAGCTCCACCTGCATGCTGTAGGGCACCAAGGGCTCAGGCAGCTCGGAGAAGAAGCTCTTCATGGCCCCGGCCACCGTGTTGACGGTGAAATCCTTCTCGGCCAGGTCCAGGCTGTGGTCTGTGGGGAAGAGGGGCCCACGGTTACAGCACAGCTCCCCAGGGGTGAGAAATGGGGTGGGAGGGGAGGGGGTGTCCCCGTTCTGGGGTGAGTTACCCTGGTCAAACTGCCGCTGCAGGCTCTCCATCTCAGACTTGTTGCCACTCACGCGGTAGATGCCCTCGGTGCTGAGCCCTGGAGCAGAAAGAAGGCAACATTTGGGGCAAAAAGAGCTGTATTCAGAGCAAAAAGAGGAGAACTCGGGGCAAAACGTGCTGAATTTGGGGGGAAACGAGAACTCGGGGCAAAAGATGTTGAGTTTGGGGGAAGAAGAGGAGAACTCGGGGCAAAAGGTGTTGAGTTTGGGGCAAAAAGAGCCAAGAGAACGAGCGCAAAGAACGGGAAAACGGTAAATTTAGGAGGAAAAAAGGAAAATAGTGAAGGAAAATGAAGGGGATGTGCAGGAAAAAGGTAAAAAAACAAACAAAAAGTGAGAAATGCCAGGAAACGGAACGCGGCTGTGGCGTAAAAGGCGGCTGAGTTTAAAACTCCGCACGTGGAGCTGAAAACGTTGGGGGGGTCTCTGCCCCCACCCCCCCAGCATTGCTCCCTCAGCCCAAAACGCCCCATAAAAAAGGCAGAATTGGGGCTGGGGGGCCAACGCTCACCTGTGGCCTCGATGTACTCGATGCAGCGCTCGATGAAGATGGGGATGGGCTTCTCGGCGGTGACGACGCTGCTGAGGGGCACCCCGAAGTAGCTGCTCTCCCACATGGGTTTGGTGAGCGACGGCCGAGGTTTGGGCTTTGGTTTCTGGGGGGAGGAAGGGGGGAAAGGAGGGGGAAAGAGAGCGTTGGATCCCACATTCGTTGGGCGTTACGTGAGCGCCAAAATCACCGCTTTTCGGCCCAAAATGAGCTGAAGGGAAGAGGGGGACCCTGCGCGAGATGTGGGAGCGGTGTTCCACGCGGGAGGACAAGTGCGATCACGTAAGCCATTAATTATCGTGGTGAATTGCTGTTAATTAGCCAGGCAAATAATTGGTGGCGTGACGATGAGCAGTTGCGACGCGGCGCTGGATTTATTAGGTGAGGAATTAGGATGCGACGATGGATTATGATGTGGGAAAACAAATACGATGCGAGGGATGAAGGTGAATCAACGACAGAACCACAGGAATAGTAAAATAATGAATTATCACACGATTATTAATTGTTGTGATGATGAATTACGATGCGATTGTGAATGACTGCACAGTGAACTATTATGACGTGGCGGGGAATTATGATGTTGTGATGATTAATTATGATATGAAGAGATATTAATTCAAGTATTTCACTATTCCCACCTATTTATGTGGTTACTACTCTAAATACCACGTTTACTACATTTCTTCTCAGAGAATTCACCCTTTTTCCCCCCAAACCTGCAGGGATTTCTCCAGATTTTGGGGGGGAAATGGCCCAAATCCAACAGGAGACATTTGGGGGGGGTTTGGTTCCCCAAAGGAGCTCAATTTTTTGGGTGGAAATCTCACAATTTTGGAGCTACGTTTGCTCACAGCTGATGGAAAAGAAATGGTGATGTTGTTTTTTTTTATTATTATTCTAAAACCACATTTCTGGCCTCAGTTTCTGGTTGGAAAAATGATCTTCTGTGAGGAAATGAATGACCAGAAATGGGAAAAATATGGGAAATAAAGCAGGGGGGAAATTGGTGTGAGCCGTCCCAAAATGCCATCGTTGTGACCCAAAAGCAAACTCCAAAGAGAGCCGAGATGCTGATGGGATCCCAGGGGAAACCGTGATGGGATTCAAGTGGGAATGAATGTGGGATCCAATTGGGAACGGTGATGGGATCCAATGGGAAATGATGATAAAATCTGGGAACGATGATGGGATCCAATGGGAATGAATGTGGGATCCCAGTGGGAACAGTAATGGGATCCCAGGGGGAACAGTGATGGGATCCAATTGGGAATGAATGTGAGACCCCAGGGGGAACCATGATTGGATCCAATTGGGAATGAATGCGGGATCCCAGTGGGAATGGTGATGGGATCCAATTGGGAATGATGACGAAATCTGGGAACGTTGATGGGATCCCCATTGGGAGCCACCCTTGGATCCCTCAACTCGCCCCATGACTCACCACTATAACCCCAAATCTCAGTGAATTTACACTGTTTTGGCGCATCCACCCTTCAGCTAATTGCAGCTCAGGGCTAATTAGGAAAGACTTTCCTAACTCTCCGAAACCATCGAGTCACCAGAATCGAACCCACGCGGTGGGAACGTGGGAGATGGATTTTGGAACAAAGGAGACGGAGCTGCTCGTGGCACAGCCAAAATCCCCCAGTAATCCCCATAAATCAGCAAACAGTCGGAAAACTCCCCCAAAATGACCCCAAAAAGCACCGCCTTACCTTGGTGGTCCGCCGGAGGCTGCGCAGGATGTTCCTCCTCCGTGGATCCTCCCCGTCAGCCGTCTCGTAGGGGATGACAGCGTTGTCTCCCTTGTAGCCCTGCGAGCTCTGATCCTCCTCCTTTTTCCTGATGGGCCCCAGCTCGTCGTCGCTGCCCACCCCGAAGCTGCTGCGGTAGGTGGCGAAGCGGCCGAGCCGGGCGCAGCGCGTCCGATAGAGCGCGGGTTTGGCGAGGAGCGACAGCTTGCGGCCGCCGCGCTCCAGGGAGCTGCTGTCAGCCTCGCTGTCGGAGCCGTTGTTGGCGCCGCCGTTGGGCTGACTCTTGTTGATGTTGCGGATGGTGATGATCTTCCCCTGGGTGCTGTCGTGGGGCACCGAGTAGATGTTCTCCTCTTCGCTCTTAGGCTTCAGCACGGCGTCCAGCGGCTCGGCGTAATCCGAAGGGTCGAAGGCGTCGGCGGGCGGCCAGCTGCCGCATGACACCGATTTCCTCTGGCCCTGCTCCAGGTAGGAGAGATCCCCTTTGCCCAGCTCGAAGGGCACCGGCGGCTTCGGCTTCACCGGCGGAGGCACTTTGCTGTTCAGCTTGCTCTCGAAGGCGCTGACCACCGAGATGAAGGCCAGCCCGTCGTTCCCCTCCAGTTCGACCGAGAGCTTTGAGTGCTCCTTGGGCAGCGCCGCGTCGTCCCGGCAGAAGCCGTAGGGCGACGGCTCCGCGTCCTCCTCCGAGTCGGGCGGGTGGGAGTTGCACTGCGGCGAGGCGGCACGCGGCGATCCCGCTGCCTCCTCCGCCCCACACGCCTCGGCCGCGTGGTCGTACATGTGCATGGCCTCCACCAGCATCTTCTTCTCCAGCGCTTCCTTGAAGAAGGCGTGGAAGCTGTCCAGTTTGGGCTGCGTCTGCCCGTACGCCACGGCGGCGAACTTGCCGTCGATCTCCTGAGCGATCTCCTCGCCCTCGGCCACCTGCTCGCGGCTCACGTCGCTCTCCAGGATGTCCACGGAGCCGTCGATGAAGGCCACCAGCTGGACGGGAACGACGTCCTGCACCTCGCAGAGGAAGGCGCGCAGCATGGCCAGCGAGGCGCGCCGCTTGGCCGCGTAGAAGACGACGTAGCCGTGCACCAGGCGGCTCTTGCGCACACCAAAGGCCGCGTGGTAGGAGAGCAGCAAGAGCTCCACGCGCCGCCGCTGCTGCCCCAGGCACAGCTCCAGCAGCACGGAGCTGCCGCACGGCGCCGGGCGGCACAGCGGGGACTGCAGGATGGGTGCCAGCAGCTCGTCGGCGCCCGCCGCGTCGCCGCACATGAAGCACATGGCCACACGCAGCTCCACGTCGGCCAGTTCCTTGAGGCCTGAGGGCGCCGAGATGAGGCTGAGGCTCCTCTTGGAGTCCAGCAGCCCCTTCAGCACCTGGCTGATCTGCTTCTCGTTGACGCTGCGCCCGTAGGCGATGCCGGCAGCGGCGGGGTCGAGGAAGACGCACTGCAGCTTGCCAGCGATCTGCTGGCCCTGCTGCACCAGGCTGTGCAGTGTCTCGCCGCCCGCGTCGCCGCGCTTGTTGACCAGCATCAGGGTGAGCGGGAGGTGGGCCGGGTGGTTCTCCCTCCGTCCCGCCGCGCTCTTCTCGATGCTCTCCACCACGTAGGAGAGCGATTCCTTGGAGTTGTAGAGGCAGAGGCAGCCGTGGGGCTGGAAGGTGGGCGTCTGGAAGGCGTTGACGGGCAGCCGCACGTTGCCCTCGATGGGCCGCAGCGACAGCTCGTACATTTTGCCCTCGATGACGTACTTGTCGTCGTTGGTGCACAGCGCCCGGATCTCGTTGGCCAGCTCGCGGGCCAGGCCGTCCTTGCCCAGGATCACCAGGTTGATGCGGTCGACGTTGGGATCCGAGAGGAAGTTCTTCTGGTTGCGCTCGGCCGGGCGGGCGGTGCGGGAGCCCAGGAGCTGCTCGACGCGTGAGTCGACGCAGAGCGGGCAGCTGGGGCACGTCTCCTTGGTCGGGTGGTAGACGAAGTGGATGTGCTTCAGGATGAGCGCATCGCGCTCCGCCTGCAGCTTCTGCAGCGCCTTGAAGCGCTGCTCCTCGCCCAGCACCTCCTGGATCACCCCCATCTTCTCCTTGCTGGGTTTGGCGTCCAGCTCCAGCTCGTAGAAGAGCTCCGAGTATTCCAGGAGCAGCTCCTGGAACTCCTCCTTGGCCCTCTCGATGATGCGCTTCTGGTGCTTGCCGTAGATGTCCATGTAGACCGGCTCCTCCAGCCACATGTAGAAGTCCTCGTTCATGATGAAGCTGCGTGCCTCCTCCCAGGGCTTCCCGGGCGTCACGAAGGGCGACGCCTCCAGGTTCTCCTGGAAAGCCCTCCGCATCTCGGCGCGCTTCCGCTCGTTCCTCAGCCGCTCCAGGTGAGCCTCGTAGAGCTGCTCGGCTGCCGGCGTCTCCATCACGTCAAAGGGGATGCGCTCGGTGTCGGCGCTGTCGATGTGGCTCGTGGCATCCCACGGGGTCTCCTCCAGAACCACGAACCACTTGGAGAAGTCCCCCTTCCCCTCCAACAGCCGCTGTGCCTTGGCGCAGCTCAGGTGGTCGATCTCATCCAGGTTGGGGACGAGCGCGTCCAACGCCTGCGGGAGCAGCGCGAGGTACGCCCGCCTCCTGCGCTCGATGTGCTCCTGCTTCAGGCGCTGGACGTGCTGCAGGAAGAGCTTCTTGGCCTTAGGTGTGCCCTCCAGGTACACGTAGTCCTGGTACTCCGGCGCCGTCTGCATCTTGCGGCTGACGGCGGCCCACGTCTCGTTGTGGCTCTTGACGACGCGGCTCACCAACCACTCGTATTTATCCTTGGCGGCCGCGATCTGCTGGCTCTGCTGCTTCAGCGCCTCGAAGTAGGGGATGATTTTGGTCTTCCCGCGGCTTTTGTCCACCAGCTGCACCAGCGTGCTGAACGCCAGATCCACGTTGACGTTGGAGCGAGCCGACGTCTCCACCACCTGCAGGTTCTTCTTGCTGAGGGCGAAGGCGTGCGCGTCGCGGATGTAGCGCTCCACGCCTTCGTCGCATTTGGTCAACACCACCACGATGGGCTTCTTGGTCTTGGCCAACTGGTTGTAGAGGTTGGAGACGAATTTCAGCTGCTCGTCGAAATTGCGGTTCATCCCCCTGCTGACGTCGATGCAGAGCAGGAAGCCGTCCACCAACAGCTTCCCGTCCGGCATCTGTTTCTGCTCAAAGTCCTGCTCCAAGCCCAGCTGGTCGGTGCAGAAGTACATCAGCTTCTCAGCCGAGGCCAGCTTGGTGGCCGCGGCGCGTTTGATGTAGGGCTGCAGCGCGGTGCTGCGGTGCGGCTGGAAGGTTTGGTCGTCGATGAACTCCGTCTGCTCCACCACGTGGGCCCGGCATTCCGCGCACTCCTCCAGTGACCGCACCACCTCCCCCCAGTAGAGGAAGTGGTCGTTGTTGACCACCCGCCCCCCGAAGTCGCTGGTGCTGAGGACAGACGTGTGGTCCAGGTGGAACTCGTCGGCGCTCGGCCGCACGAAGCGGTTGCAGAGACACGACTTCCCCACGCCGCACTGCCCCTTCTCCTTCTCCGTCCCGGATAAACCCACCACGCTAATGTTGTAGGTGGGGATGCGGGCATCTTGCTTCCTCGCCATCATCATCGTCGTCCGCACATCCTGTCCCAAGCCCTGCCCAGAGGATCGGTGGCAGCGGGGATGGGCGGTTGGCAGAGGGGCTCACGACAACGGCGGCGTCCCCATGGCCGTGGGGCAGCTCAGGGCTGGAGGGGGGCTGAGGTCGGGCGGCCGAGGGGGGCCCCTGTGGGAGAGAAAGGAGAGTCAGAACTGCGGGATAGGAGGGATTATGTCACAATTCTGACACAACTGTGCTGAAAATGGGCATAATTCTGCAGTAGTACCTGAATACGGGGCTACTGGAGGGAACTGGGCTGAAAATGGGCATGATTCTGCCATAATTCTGCTGTAAATGCACTGAAAATGGGCATAATTCTGCAGTAATATGTGAGTATAGGGCTGCGGGATGGAAACTGGGCTGAAAACGGGCATAATTCTGCAATAATATTTGAGTATGGGCTGCAGGATGGGAAATGGGCTGAAAATGGGCACAATTCTGCCGTAATTCTGCTGTAAATGCACTGAAAATGGGCATAATTCTGCAATAACATCCGAGTACGGAGCTGCAGGATGGGAACAGGGCTGAAAATGGGCATAATTCTGCAATAATATTTGAGTATGGGCTGCAGGATGGGAACTGGGCTGAAAATGGGCACAATTCTGCCGTAAATGCACTGAAAATGGGCATAATTCTGCAGTAATATCTGAATATGGAGCTGCAGGAGGGAACTGGGCTGGAAATTGGCACAATTCTGCCGTAATTCTGCTGTAAATGCACTAAAAATGGGCATAATTCTGCAGTAATATCAGAATACGGGGCTGCAGGAGGGAACTGGGGTGAAAATGGGCATGATTCTACAATAATATTTGAGTATGGGCTGCAGGATGGGAACTGTACTGAAAAAGGCCATGATTCTGCCATAATTCTGCAGTAAATGCACTGAAAATGGGCATAATTCTGCAGTAATATTTGAGTATGGGGCCGCGGGATGGAAACTGGGCTGAAAATGGGCAAAATTCTGCAATAATATTTGAGTATGGGCTGCAGGATGGGAAATGGGCTGAAAATGGGCATAATTCTGCTGTAATTCTGCTGTAAATGCACTGAAAATGGGCATAATTCTGCAGTAATATCAGAATACGGGGCTACATGCTGTGAACTGGGCTGAAAACAGGCACAATTCTGCAGTAATATCTGAATATGGGGCAGTAGGATAGGAACTGGGCTGAAAATGGGCATAATCCTGCTACAATTGTGCTGAAAATTGTCATAATTCTGCAATAATATCTGAATATAGGGCTGTGGGATGCAAACTGGGCTGGAAAATGGGCATCATTCCACCCCATAACTGCATATCACTCAATCTCCAGTGGTGACCCCACAACACATCAGTGCAGCAATGCAAAATGACCCATTTTCCTTTGCTTTTCACCCAAAATCAACTGTGGGAACCACTCAGACTCAATTCTGCCCCTTCAATGGCACAGAGTGCTGCAGGGTGGGAACGGTGCTGTACCAAAAAGTGAGAGATCTGCCCCAAAACACAAAGGATTTGCCCCAAAACGTGAGAGATCTGCCCCAAAACACAGCACTGCGATGCAAATTATGCCCCTTAATCAGCTTTCAGCAATTACTCGTTGTTTAATTTCCAAAGGAATGCAGCTCCTACCTCAGCACCACCGTTTTTTCCCAAATCTTCACTATTTCAGCCCAATTTGAGGACGGTCCCAGGGAGTGGAGGAGCACCAGCCCCCAAAACCTGCTTCCCCATCCCCCCCAGACAGGGGGATTTCACAGGGGAGAACCCTGATGTTGGGTTTGGAAGAAGAACCATTTCTTCACCTTTTTGGTTAAATTCACTCAAAAGCCCCCAAAGGTAAAATCTGGGAGTGAAGATGGGAGCTCTGCTCATCGTTTTCCTCCCAAATTCCATCTTTTTGGGCCACCTGGCCCTCAAACCTCACAATTCAGGGCCACTTTCCACTGAAAAATCCAACTCTTAAAACCATTTTCCTCTCAAATTCCAAATTTTTAAGGTTATTTTCCCCTGAAGCCCCACCTTTTAGGATCATTCTTCTCCCCCCAAACCCAACTTGTAGGGCCAAAATCCAACTTGTAGAACCATTTTCCTCCGAAAGGCCCCAATTTTTAGGATCACTTTCCCCCAAACCCCAATTTTTAGGGCCATTTTCCCTCCTCAAAAAACTTTTAGACATTTCACCCCCAAATCCCAACTTTTAGGGCCATTTCCCCCTCAAACCCCAAATTTTAGGGCAATTTTCCCCTCACACCCCAAATTTCAGGGTCATTTTCCTTCCCCAAAGCTCACTTTTAGGGCTATTTTCCTCCCCATACGTAACTTTTAGGACCATCTTCCTATTCCACATCTCAGCTTCTAAGGCCATTTTTCCCCTCAAACCCCAACTTGTATGGCCATTTTCCACCACCACAAAAAATAAAAATAAAAATTTAGGACATTTTACCTCCAAATACCCAAATTTTAAGGCCACTTTTCACCCCATACGAAGTTTTAGGATCATCTTCCCACCTCCATACCTCAGCTTTTAGGGCCATTTTCCCCCTCCTCAAAACCCCAATTTCTACGGCCATTTTCCACCCCTCAAAAAAAAAACAACAACTTTTAGGTCATTCTGCCCCCAAAATCACAGCTTTTAGGGCCGTTTTCCTCCTGGCCCTCAATCCTCCCCCACCTGAAGTGCAGAAAATCCCCAAAAATGGGGACTTTCCCTCCCCCAAAACGGGGTCTGCTTGCAGAGCCGCCCTCAGCTGTAAGCACGCGGGGCGCAGCAGATGGGCAGTTCCCAGGCGGACGTTTCTGTGTTTATTTTGGGGGAAAAAATTCCCTTTTTCTCAGCTGAGGAGTTGGTTGCAACACGGAATGGTGCCAGGCGCAGATTTCCCATCGTTTCCGTCCCGTTTGGGGTTTGTTTGCACAAAAACAGCAATAATCCCTAACACGCCCCAAACAGGTGACCGCCCCCGAAACCTCATAAATAACTAGCAAAAAAACAAACAAATAAAATAAAATAAAATGAGTCAAATCCTATGAGTTGAAAAGCAGCCCGCCCTTCTGGACCTTCGAACTGGGGTAAAAACAACCCAAAAAAGCAAATTTTATCAATACTGATCACCCCGAGGGGTGTTGGGATGGGGCTTTTTCCAAGCAGTCGCAGCACTGGGATTGAGGGGGAGGAGGCAAACAACCCCCCCCCAAAATCCATCCCAACCCCAACCCTGGGTTCTGGGCACCCCAAATCCATCCCAACCCCAACCCTGGGTTCTGGGCACCCCTGGACTCACAGCTCGGCGTCCCGTCCCGGAGCAGCGCCGGCGCTTTCGCTTTCAGCCTCAAAGCCCTGAGTCAGGAGTTACTCATTGACACCGAAGGAGGAGCACAGGGCAGATCCCAGCCCTCCAGGTGCCCGACTGGGAAATACCATTCTTTATCTCAAAATACGCTTTTTTCCCCACTCATTTCCACCCTCCAGATCCATTTTTATCCTAAAACGCGTTTTTTTTCTTGCTTTTCACCCCAAAATGGGCCCTCCTACCTGTTTCTCACCCAATAATGACGTTTCTCGCCCTATTTTAGCCCCAAACCAGCTTCTCCTGCCCCATTTCCACCCCAAAATGGGGTTTTCTGCCCCATTTTCACCCCCCTCCGTAGCATCCCCCATCCCAGTATTGCCCTAAAATGAAGATTTCTACTCTGCGGTCACCCCAAAAATAGGATTTTCCACCCCATTTTCTCCCCAAACGGCACCTCCTGCCCCCGTTCCAATAAAAAATTGGGGTTTCCACAACAAAATGGGGGCTTTCACTTCATTTTCACCCCAAACTGGAATTCTTCACCTCGCTTTCACTCAAAAATGGGATTTTTTGACCCATCTTCATTCCAAAACAAGAGTTCCCCACCCAATTTTCACCTCAAAATATGGGGGTTTTCTGCCTGATTTCCACCAAAAATGGGGATTTCAGCCCATTTTCACCCCAAATCTGGATTCTTCACATAATTTTCATCCAAAATGAGAGTTTCTTATCAATTTTCACTCAAAAACGGCACCTCGTGCCCCATTTCCACCACAAAAAGAGGATTTTTGGTCCTCTTGCCACCCAAAATGGGGTCTTTCACCTCATTTTCACCCCAAAATGGAATCTTCTGCCCCACTCTTATCCAAAAATGGGATTTTTTACCCCATTTTCAGCTAAAAAAAGGATTTCTGGCCCCATTTCCCCCCCCATCCACTCACATCACAACAGACCTCCAATTAACAATTAACACCGCAAGCAATTAAGCAGTGTCTCCACTCTCAACCTCACAACACAAAATCCTCCAAGGATGGGAAATTCCACCATTGTTTGTTTGGTTTTTTTTTTAGTTCTTCTCCCCAACTTTTTCCTAGTTTTCCTTTTCTTAACATTTTTCCTTCCCCGTTTTCCTCTTTCCTGACACCTTCCTTCCCAACTCCGAGTTTTTCCCATCGTTTCCCCAACTTTGTTTTCTGCTCTCCAACCTCTTTTGTCTCCTCCAACCTTTCCAACCTCCGATTTTCTCCTTTTCTTTCCCACCTTTTCCCTTTTTTCCCCAATTTCCCCAATGGACGAAGCCCCTCTCTGGATTTCCTTCTTTCCCATTTCTTTCCCAAACTTTTCCTTCCCATTTTTTCCATCTTCCCAACGTTTCCCCATTATTTCTCCTCACCAACTTTGCCTTTTTGTCCAACTTCTTTCCCAACTTCGTGTCCAACCTCATTGTCTTCTTCAAGGGATCATCTTTCTGATTTTCTTTCCCAATTATTCCCAATGATTTCGCACCGTTTCCCCTCTCCAACCTCCTCAGAAGATCATTTTTCCCCTTTTTCCCACCTTTTCCCAACATTTCCCTTCTCCAATTTCCCCAATGGGTGAAGCAGCTCCTAAGATTTCCTTCTTTCCCATTTCTTTCCCAACATTTTTCCCCAACGTTTCCCTCTCCAATTTCATCTACTCCAACTGCACCAGCAGCTCATCCTCCCCCTCTTCCATCCCAACATTTCCCTTTTCCCAAAGATTTCCCAACATTTCCCTTTCCCAAACTCTTCTCCAATTCCCCCAGTGGATGAAACCCTTCTCAGGATTTCCCTCTTTCCCACTTCTTTCCCGACCTTTTCCTTCCCAACTTCTC